CGATCCTCCTGCCTCAGCCTCCCGAGTAGCTGGGACTACAGGCACCACTACGCCTGGCTAATTTTTCTACTTTTAGTAGAGAGGTGGTCTCACTCTTGCTCAGGCTGGTCTCAAACTCCTGACCTCAAGTGATCCTCCTGCCTCGGCCTCCCAGAGTGCTGGGATTATAGGCATGAGCCACCACGCCAGCCAAAAACCCAAGCTAACTCTTGCTCCTGCCTTCTGACTCAGCCTTCCCCACCTCCTGTGTCATTCGCTCACTCTGGACCAACAGGCACGAATCTCGGGGCCCTTCCCAGCAGGAGGAGAAGGAGGAGGAGGAGGCGGCGGCAGTTGATTCACTAAAGGGTGGATCACACAGCCGCCCCCCGCTGGGCACCCCTAGCTGCTGTGCAGCACTGGCAGCCCGCATGGCCTCTGAGGCCTGGCCCCCACCTGCTCTCCTCTCAGCCTCTGGCCGCTCGGGCCTCCCCTCATGATACTTGTCTCACAGTTGTCAAACCTTGAAGCAACCAAAGCGTCCCTCAGGAGGCAAGGGGGTATGTAAACTGAGGTGCACCCCGACAGTGGAATACTATTCAGCGCTAAAAAGAAACGAGCTGTCAGGCCATGACGAGACATGGAGGAGCCTTAATGCACGTGACTAAGCGAAGCAGCAGCCTGGAGAGACCACGTGCTGTGGGACTCCAACTGCAGGACACCCTGGGAAAGGCTGAAGTAAAGAGACAGTGAAACGTCCGTGCCTGCCAGGGGCTGACGGGGAGGGAGGGGTGACCAGGAGGGGCCGGGGGCGTTTCAGGGCAGTGGCCGACTCTGCAGGATGCGGCAACGGGGACAGGTCCATGGAAACCCACAGAGAGCTCAATGCAAAGACTGCACCTTCATGTTAATTCAGACATCAGCTAACGGGAACATGTCAGTTTCTGTCGCCAAGTGGAACAAATTTACCACATGATGAGTTGCCACTAGAGGGGAAACGGGGCAGGAGTACGTGAGAGCTTTCTTTGCTCTCTGAGCAATTTTCCTACAAAGCAAAAACTGCGTAAGAAATAAAGTCTATTAAATTAAAAAGAAAAACACATTTTTAACAAGCCCAACTTCCTTGGTGACTGGCTCCTTCAGGTAGACTCAGCCCTGGCGGGGCGGCCCAAGCTTGGGGGCGGCCCTGAACGTTGTCTCCCCACGGGTCACTTTCTCGAAAGAAGCTGAAAAGCTGACATGGAAGGAACCGGAAGCTCAGCGGAGACAGGAATCCCCTCAAATGCTCTCTCTGAAAAGCTGGGGGCTACAGTGACCCTCCTGACCACATCCTGGATGGGAATCTGTCCAGGACCCGCAAGGGGCGTGGTGGAGCTGGGCTCTGGACGGCCAAGGTCGAGTTCGTGCCGTGTTCTCGCGGCGCAGGGTGCCGGCTCACCTGCAGGGGGGGAGGGCTGTACAGGACGCTGCCCGCTGGTGGGGGCTCGTGCTGAGGGTACTCCCCGTCCATGGTGGGCCGCACCGCGAGCATCGGGCAGCAGATGGGGGGCTCCAGGACCCGAGGCCGCCGGCAAGTCTATCTGGGCTTCGTGCTCCGTGGCGGCGGCAGTGGTGGCGACGTCATATCCTGCAGAGAGAGACGTGGACACCTAAGACTGTGCCCTGATCTTGACCCTTGCCCATGGGCAGAACCAACAGGGCCGTCTCCCCTCCCGCATGCCCGCTGCGCCAGAGCAGCACCCCTGCTGTGCCCGGCACCTCCTCTGGCCTTCTGGGCCCCAGGCCCTGACTGCACCCGTTCATGGGGCCCCAGGGACCCGCCAGGAGCAGCGGAGCTGCAGCCATGCCCTGCACCACGGGTTTGTGCCCGGCCAGCTGGAGGCTGCGGGGGGGTGGGTGGGGCACCGGGCAGAATCCAACCTGGGCCAGCACCTCTGAGCTGGGGGCCCACTGGGACCCCGGACCCTGCCCCGCCCCTCAACAGCACTGCAAGGCAGTGCTAGAGGGTCCCCCAGGGTGGTCAGGGCTGAGCTGAGCAGGAAAGAGCCCTCAGACCTCATTTGGGGCTAAGGAAACCCCACTATCCCCACGAAGAATGAACCCGTTCTAGACACTGGGGGACATCTCCCACCAGCCCCGGCCTTGGCACTTGGCCAGGAGCCCACCGAGGTCTCCCCGGGAAGAGCCTGCGGTGGCACGGGGTGTGCTCAGCTGGCAGGCGGCTCAGAACCTCGACGCAGAGGGAGGCAGGAAGGAGGCGGCGGCCACTCCTGGCCAAGCCCTTAAGTGAAGAAATCCTCGGGACTTCCAGTAATTTCAGCCCAGCCACACGCAGGCGGCTTGTGCAATCCTGCAGGCGGGCGGGGGGGCCTCACCCGGAGCTCCAGGGATGGTGGCTGGCAGAGCAGGGCCCGGCTCTGCCCCAGGCCGTCATGCCCATCTTCCTGGGTCCTCTGCCCAGTCCTTGCTGCCACCACCTCGCTCCAACTGCCACCAGGGCCCAGACCCTCTGCAGCCCCCTTGGGCCGCCTGTAGGCCAGGACAGACAACCCTGTCAGAACCCCACCCCCAGGAAACACAGACACCTTGTGGTCGGACTCTTGACAGATCCTAAAGATTGCAGGGCAGGCAGGTGAGGATCTGAGCCCAGCCCCACCTTCCCAGTAGAGTGGGGTCGGCTGAGCTCCTCCCAGCCTCAGTGTGCGCATCTGGAAGATGGGCTACTTGAGTAGAGCCCAGGAGCCTCTGCGGCTGGAGTCCACAGTGATTACTTCATTGGCTGAGGCTCCAGGAAGCTGCTGGTGCCAGGATGATGCCCCTGGGGGTGTCCACGGGCACCCGGGATAGAGCAGCCCCTGCCATGAGAAGTGGGCAGGACCCACGCGCTCCACGAGAGCCGTCCAGGCCCCCCCGACAGGGGGGCTCTGGCTGCTCCAGCCCTGGGCTCACCACCACATCCCTCAGTTCCGGTCCCTGTCTCGGGTCTCATCTCACGGCAGCCACAGCCCCCCGAGGCTGACCCTCCCACACCCAGGGGCGCCTCTCACCAGGAGTCAGAGTCCTGGGACACCCAGGGCCTGGGGCTGACAAGCTCGGGAGGGCAGACCGTGGGCCATCATCCGGGTACGCCTGGCCCGAGGGCCCCCACCGGCAGCAGCCTGGGCCCAGAGCTCCTCCATGGCCATGTCCCTCAGGCCAGCTCCTTCCTCCCTGCAACCTGAGAGCCCCAGCCGTAGACCCCGTTCCAAGCGGCAGCCCCAGAAGGCGCAGTCACCGCGTTGTCAGTCGGGGTCCAGGGACAGGTTCGAGACAAAGATTCCCCTGGGAAGGGCTTCAGACACGGGGGCAGGGGGTCAGATGGCCCCACCACTTGGAAGACAGGCTGGGGACCCTCGAAAGTCGGACCTGTAGTCTCCACGTGACCCGGCAGTCCCACTCCCAGGTGTGTGCCAAGGACAACTGAAAACACGTGTCCAGCCAGAGACCTGCACACAGATGTGCACAAAGCACAAGTCACAGCTTCAGAGGTGCAGACAGCCCAAGGGCCCACAGGTAGGAACCGGAGCAGTGTCCGGTCAGCCAGTGTTTATTTTTAGGTGGTGTCTCAGGGCAGGAGCCGTATGCAGCGCGTCACGCAGCTCCCACGTAGGGGAGGGGCCTATGCTATCGCCACAGCTCACCACTGGGAGGGGGATGTGGTTTCCTTCTGAAATCAAGCTTTCAAGTGAGTCACTGCAGGAGAGAAAGGTTGAGGAATTAAGGGCCCAGACAGCACCAGGATTAGGAGGGCGGACGTCAGCAGAGCCCAAGAGGTGGGAGAATCCGATTCCAAGGACCTGTCTGCGGCCAGCAAGTAACCGTGACCACCTCCCGTCCCCTCTTCTGGCCCTGCTGGGGTCCTCATCTCCCCAGCTGGACCTCAGTGAGAGGCCAGATGCCTCAGGCCAGGCCCTGGGGTCTTACCCTGCACACGGCATCACTGGCTCAGCCTCTTAGACACTCGGAACCAGTCACCACCCAGATCTGCTGACCAATGTAGCCCGGACCCCCGCCTGGCTACGGCTCCCACTGGCAGAAGCCAGGACAAGAGTGTCGCTCTCACCACTGGGAAGACGCTATGTTGTCGGAGGGTCGCATCCCTCGAGGGCCTGCCTCGTGAGACCCCTCACGCCTCAGACCTCAGCAGGGCCCCTCTGTGAATGGGGAGGCCGTGGCCACCAGCTACGCATGCCCAAATTTGACATCGTCCCCTCATCATGCACGATCTCAACACCCAAGCTTTCTGATGAGGACACAGAGGCTCCTCAATGGAGCCTTGACGACGCCTGAAGCTTGAGCTGGTCCACACCCATTTTCTCTTTCTTCTTTTTCTTTTATTATAGACAGGGTCTTGCTCTGTCACCCAGACTGGAGTGCGGTGGTGTCATCACAGCTCACTGCTGCCTCCAACTCCTGGGTTCCAGCGATCCTCCCACCTCAGCCTCCCAAAATACCAGGACTGCAGGGGTGACCACCACATCCGGCCCCCACACCCCTTTCCAACATGGCAAAGTGGAGGCTTGGAGAAGATCTGGCCCATGTAGCTGGACCCGAACCGCAGGGAAGATGACTCGGCGCCCAACACAACTGTGTGTACTCTGCCCAGGTCCTGGGGCCTCATCCCCTGGCAGAGGGTCCCTTAAGGCTCTCACTGGCAAATGAGAAAACCAAGGCCTGGAGAGGTGGTAAGGTGCCTTTGGGCCAGGAGTCACAGCCACAGTGATAGATGTGTGCGCAAGCCTCTACCGGTCGCCGCAGACCCTTAGGGCCTGGTGGCCATCCCTCGACCCTGAGCTACCTCACCGGAGTCCTCACTGGGGGCATGAGGGGCACCCTGCCCACAGGAATAGGCCCAAGTGTCCTGGGGGTCCTGACGGAGCCATGGCAGCCCAGGGAGCTGGTCAGGAGACATGCACTGTCCATGGCCACAGGTGACTCACCTGTCACTGTGACCGCCACCAGCTTGCCTTGCACGGAGCTCGGGGACAGGCCAGTCACCCTCCACTGGGCTCCTGGGTTTTAGCAGCCACCAGGAAGGAGCAGCCTGGGGATCCCAGGACCAGGAGGGGCGGGAGGGCTGGCGGATTTCACAAGGCTCTGAGATGTGGGACAGAGAGCCCTGCAGAATCCGGACGCCTGACCAGGCCTCAGTTTGGTCCACCGGGACTGTCTGGCGGGGGAGGGCCGCCGGGGCTTTGGGAGGCCTCAGGATTCGGAGCCAGCAGTGGGCTTGGGCCCTAGCTGGGGACTGGCCCAGGAAGGGACACGGCAAGCGGCTCCTCAGCTCCTAGGCTGCGGTGCCCCAGCTGAGACAGCTCTGTCCCACATAGGGGTGAGTGGGGAGGAGGGCAAGGGCAGCCCCTGCCCACCTGCTGGCCTCACCTCACTCTAAGCACTGAGACCCCACTGGACTCATCTCCCTCAGCCCCACCCAGGCCTCTGGGGTCCGCCCAGTAGCCTCCCGGTGGGCCCAGCCTCGGAAGGGCAGCTGCCTGGCGGGTGGCAGGCATGTGCAGATGACCCTAAAGGGTGGTGACGAGACCCCAGCGGGCGCAGGGTTGGCAGCAGGTGGGGGGGCTGGCTAGGTCCACCAGGACCCCACCCCACCCTGGGGCTTCAACACCTGGACCAGTTCTTATAATACGGATTATTATAATTCACCCTGTCTGAGCGCTGCTCAGACCCCCAGGAGCATTTGTCCCCGGAAAGCCCCCTCCTCCTCCAGGGGTGGGCAGGCCCAAAGAATGCAGAGGAAAGGGAAGGGTGTCGGTCCCAAAAGCTTAAGAATAGCAACGTCATTGTTTGACCCCACCCGGGCAGGGCCAGGCAGCACTCGCCGCAGCAGGTGGAAGGACATCTTGGCAATACAAAATGGTTTTGACCTCTTGCACCCCTGAGAGGGTCCCAGGACGCCCACGGTCCCAGGGCCACGTTTTAGGAATGGCAACACGGCACCACCCTCTCCACTTCTCTGCTGAGCCTTTTCCCACAAGAGCTCAGGTTTGCAGTGAGGTTACCAGGAGTCCGCAGGGAGCCGTCTGTGAATGGCGGAGCCAGCCAGTGGAGTCCTCGCCACCCACCAGAGGCTCTCCTGCCATGGAGGTGGGTGGTGGCAGCCCCACGAGCTCATGAAAGAGTCCTCAGGATGGCTGGGTGACGCCTATCCACTCCCTCACAACATCAGGCCACAGGAGCCAGGTAGGGAGGATGGGTGACAGTCCGTGGCTAGGCTTACAGACTCCCCCGCGCTGGCGAGGGGCTTGAGCTGGTCAGAGATGCAGACATCCTGGCCCAGAAGCTTGGGCACAGCCACGTGACAGCCACATCACTGCTCCTGTGGCCCCTCCAGGCGGCCTCCTCATCCTCCGTGGAGACATGTGATCAGGGATGACTCCACACCTCAGATAGGAGCAGAGATGGGGCCTCTTTAAATCAACCTTTTCTTCTTTTTTAATCTAATGGAAGCCGGGCACAGTGGCTCTCACCTGTAGTCCCAGCACCTGGGGAGGCCAAGGCAGGAGGATCACTTGAGGCCAGGAATTCAAGATCAGCCTGGGCAATATAGCAAGACCCCATCTCTACAAAAAATATTTTTAAAAAATCAGCACAGTAGCATGCGCCTGTAGTCCAAGGTACGTGGAAGGCCAAGGCAGGAGGATCACTTGAGCCCAGGAGTTGGAGGCTGCGGTGAGCTGTGATCATGCCACTGCACTCCAGCCTGGGTGACACAGTGAGACCCCATCTCTAAAAAACTAAATAAATAAAATAAAATAAAAATAAAATGAAACAATGGAAGCAGTGGATACAGATGATTTTTAAAGAAAAAAGACAAAAACACAGAATTATAGTACACTAGGTGGTTCAGCGGGGAAAGGACCATGATCCCAATGACGTAAAAACATGGAACACTGACATAACCAAAACATGCCCACACGTGTGCACTGCAGGCACACGCACACGAAAAATAGGGGAAAGTGGCCCACCCCAATGTCAATACTCTGTTGGTGACACTGCTCTGTCATTTTACAAGATGTTCCCACTGGGGGAAATGGGTACATGGAACCTCTTTGAACTGTTTCTTAACAACAGCACATGAATCTACAACCATCGCGAAAACAAGCAGTTTAATTCATGGTGTGAACTCAGGAAGCACGTCGGGCC